TAAAATTCGTTCATCCGGTGTTTCAAATAATAAAGTGAATAGACGAAAGAATTTTATTAATTATTAATTTCGTTTTCATTAAATAGAATAGTTGTATAAATATTAACATATCACCTCAAAGTACTGGTCATGAATTAGAACAATTAATTCAAGAAAAACTTAATCTACATGATCAAAATATAAAGATGATTTGTTCGGGTCGTATGATTCAACTTAATGAACAATTACAAACACAAAATATTCGTGTATAATTTAATATATTTATTTGATTTTTATCTATTGTTTATTTCTAGACGAATGGAACGATCTTAGTTATCGCTGTACCAAAATCAGCTATTGCTGCAACAACATCTGATATTCAAACTTTGAATTTAATTCAAGCTGTTAAAGAAGCAACAAATATTTTACATGAAAATTCTCGTCAAGCAGCAAATTCTAATCGTTATCAATTACGTATAACTGATCAACAAGGACGTGAATTAACAGCATTATCTGATGATGAACAACATTCATTAATGTTAGCAATGACATTACATGAAAAAGGTCGTTCATTTCTTCGACAACGTGATTATTTAAGTGCATTGGCATTATTTAGTGAAGCTGATAATGAATTTCGACAATGTTCATCACAGATGCTTAATTCTGTTGATAATTGGTAATTTTCATATTCATTTATATAATAAATATATATTGATTTATGTTGAGAGGGGTCTACTCAATTTGGATATTGTATGGTGTTATCTTTGTATGCAAAATGTTAATGATTTACAAGGTAAAATCGTTAGCATTTTTATTGGAGATAAAATAAAAATTTCTATTTAGATGCTGCTGAACGATTAATGAAATGTGATACATGTTTTGTTAAAGTTTATGGTAATTCATTTCAACGTCTTAAAGCTTTACAAAAAGATGGAATGGGTCATATGGTATTATTCGTTCGATTACATTTATTACAGGCTATTGTAGCTTATCATGCTGGTCGTAAAACTGATGCAAAAAATTTTCTTGGTATGGCTGAAGAAGAAGCACGAATGATGCGTATTGATCCAGAGAAATTAACTCAAAGTTAGTTAAACTATTTTATTTTGTTAAATTATCATTTTTCTATAGTTATGCTAATGGGTTATACAACAAAAGAAGCTCGACGAGGTTTACGAAGTGCACAAGGTAATATTGATCAAGCTGTTGAATTTATTATTGAGGTAAAAGAAAATTTGAAATTTTCTCGATAAATGTTTATTTATATACACATATATATATATAGAATCGACGTTTACGAGAAGAACGTCATCGCGAAGAAGAAGCTCGAGAAGAAGAAGAACGTATACAAAGGCGCTATGGACATACTGAAAATGGACAAAAGTATTAACTATAGTACTTTTATTACTAATTAATTTTTGTTAAAATATTTATTTTAGAATAAATATAACGTATTTACAACAATTACAATCAATGGGATATCCTCGTCGAGCTTGTGTTGAAGCATTAAAACAATCCAATAATCGTTTAGAAGAAGCTAGTGAAATGTTACTTACCAATCTTGATACTCTTATCACGGCTAGTAGAGTAGCAAAAAGAGATAATGAAGATGATGATGATCAAGAAACAGAATTAATGGAAGATGCTACACATATACCTCAATTAATAGCATTAGGAGCTGAATTTGAAGAGGCACGTGCTCTATTAGAAATTCATGGAAATCGATTAGAACGTGCAGTTGAAGAATTATTACAAAAAACTCAGGATTCATATGAAACAATGCACGAACACGATGACCCTAGTCTATTTGCACGCGCACGAACAGCAGTTGAGAAACGAAGTAAGAAGAAAACTATTAGTTCTTGTCAATAGATTGCTTTTTTGTATTTCTTTTAGTGGCTAAAAAGATTCGATTAGATGAACAAAGTGCTGCTGATCAACAACGTCGTACTACACTTGAAACGATTGTACCTGATTTATTACGTAGTAGTATGGAAACAGATGATACAAACACGGATAGTCAAACAAATAATGGCGGATCAGATGATTATCTTGATTTATTATTAGATGAAGAGGAAACATTTATTCGTGACTATCGGCAACGATTAGTTGATGATGGTTTTTGGTAATCACCTTAACTATTCATGTATAAAACACAATAAAAACCGTTATTTTCTAATTTTGTTTACTAATATGTTAACACAGATATCAATAAACCCGAACCAGTGATTGTTTGCAATAAAAGATTTACATGAAGTATTCTTAATCTTGAAGGTGTAGGTGTGGTCTCTAAAGAACTAACTGTTTCTTTTTGTCGTATTACGAACATGTATTTCGAAGATACAAGCATATATGAATGAAACAAATAATGATTCAATGTTGGTATATTCCTTTTCTTCGTTTACCTTTCTTTGTCGACATTTTGTCAAGAATAGAAAGAGAACAGATACATTACACAAATAATGACAAAATAAAAAAAATCGCTTATGAAGGTTATTTTCAAGAGAGAAAAAATATCATATTTATGTTTGTTTTTTTTCTTTCATTCGTAATTATACGTATTCATCCAACGTTTTCTCCGATGACAAGATGATATATTTTCAAAGGTATTAAAGAAAAGAGTATTATCAAGTGAGAATCATTCTTTCATTTCTTATTTGTAAGATATTACTAGTGTTTTAATCTATACAATGATGATATAAAGAATGAAAAGACAGTGTTGCATATATAGAAGATATATTAATATGGTTACTAGCATAACTGATTCTGAGCTTTTGACTTCATGTTTCTGTTTTACGTAGGTCTCAGCAAGATTAAGTTAATTATAATAAGCATTCATGAGTGTGAGTGTGGAAATCGATTTTCAACTTAAATTTATATATATAAAGTAGATAAGAAGATAATTTATTTCTCCTATCAACTTCTATTCAGCGACGTGACAATGGCAAATAACAAAACACTATGTTTTAAATGTAATAAAAATAAAATAACATATCCTTGTGAAGGATGTTCAAAATACTTTTGTTTAATGGATTTAACAAAACATCGTCAAATATTAAATGAAGAACTGAATTATGTTATTAATGATTATGATCAATTTAAACAAAGAATAAATGAACGAAAACAAAATCCACAAGATCATTCATTAATAAAACAAATTAATCTATGGGAAATAAAATCAATTGAGAAAATTCAAGAAAAAGCACAAGAGTACAGAGAAATGCTCATGAAATCATCACAAACATGTATTGATGATATTGAAATGAAACTTAATGATTTACATAAAAAAATAAAACAATTTCAAAACGAAAACGAATTTAATGAAATTAACTTAAATCAATTAAGAGAGAAAGTAATAGAAATTGCAAAAGAATTCAGTAATCCATCAAATATGTCTATTGAACAAAATTCACGATCATTAATTAATGAAATTTCAATTATTTTATCAAAAAGTAAGTTTCTAAAAGAAATAATTTCTAAAAGAATAATTCTTATTTTCTAGAATCAACATTCACTAAATGGAAACATAATGGCATCACTGTGGCTGGTGGAAATGGAGAAGGACAAAAATTAAATCAACTTAATCGTCCAGGAGGGATTCTTATTGATAAAAAGAAAAATATTTTCATTGCTGATTATGCAAATCATCGTATTGTTGAATGGAAATATAATGCAAACGAAGGACAAATCATTGCAGGTGGAAACAAACAAGGAAATCGAATGAATCAATTGAATCGACCAACAGATCTGATTGTTAATCAACAAAATCACTCAATCATCATTGCTGATTTTGGGAACAAGCGAGTGGTTCAATGGTTGAATCAAAAGCAACAAATACTTATTGATAATATTGACTGTTCTCGTTTGGCAATTGATAAATATGGATATCTTTATGTATCCGATGATAGAAAGAGTGAAGTGAGACGATGGAAAATAGAAAAATACAACAACGAAGGAGTTATAGTGGCAGGTGGAAATGGTGAAGGAGATCAATTTAATCAGCTTGCTCTTCCTAGTTTTATCTTTGTTGATGAAGATCAAACTGTTTATGTATCAGATAGATACAATCATCGTGTGATGAAATGGAGAAAAGATGCAAAAGAAGGAATTGTTGTGGCTGGAGGAAATGGTCAAGGAAAAAATCTCAATCAATTGTCTTATCCTGCAGGAGTAATCGTTGATGATTTGGGTCAAATCTATGTGGCAGATGGTGAGAATCATCGAATAATGCGTTGGTGTGAAGGAAAAGAAGAAGGTGAAGTTATTGTTGGTGGAAATGGTAAAGGAAGTAAATCAAATCAATTGAATGGTCCCATTGGTTTATCTTTTGATGATGAAGGAAATCTTTATGTTGCTGATTGGGGGAATGATCGAATTGCAAAATTCGAAATAATTTTGTGAATGAAATTTAGATTTTAAAAGAAAAGAAAAGAAACAAAAATGGACAAAAAAATGAAATGAAATTTAAAGACTAGATGGCCTTTTTTTCTCGACGTACATATTGAAAGTTGTCATTTTGTATTGCGACTATCCCAGGAACGGAACATCAGAAGATATTCGTTTAAACACGAGATAAATATATCAAAATCAAACTGACACCATTCATTTTTCGATTTTGAACAGCGTGCTTAGTTCATTTACAGGAAGCGTTAGAAAAACATCATTTTGTCTATGGACTTTGTATTTTTCACATTTGGAGATTTGTGATAGAATATTCATATTTATATATCATATTACGGGTACCACTGTTAATTAGGTCTTACTTTAAAATTCATCTAACTTTACTACAATTTTCTATAGTGGAATTGTTTTATTGAATGTTATTGAATTACAACGAAATAAAAATTATTAGTTTAATATTGGTTGTTACTATTGTTAAATAATTCTTTTGTTCGAATTTGTTATTACTTCATCACTAACATAGAAAAATGCTATTGTATATTATTTCTACTACAAATTAATATTTCCTATTTCATTACATTATTATTGTTTTCATTCATCAAGTGATGACTATCAATATTTTGAAAGTCTAATTTTGTATTTCTTCAGACTAATTTCGCAATGATACATATTCATTTTAAAAATCTTCCATAGATATTTCATAGATCGTGTTGTTCCTTTGAATCACTTAGCTAAAGTATGATTAATTTACATATTAAGTGCATCGTAAAAAGCTTTATCGATTTTCAAAGGGAATTGAAGAAATCTTGTTGTTCATAAAATCTATTATTGAATAGAAAGAATCTTTTTAGTGAGTTTGATTATTATCTTAATAATTTCCAAGGTATTTCTTATTACGCAAAATATGATTGATGATGTAGTCTATTGAAATAATTACATTATACAATCAAGTACATATCTAAAAAATAGAATCTTTTTTTTCTTTATGAAAACGGCAGAAATTAATTTGATTTTGAAAAATAACTTGTAAATTGCATATTATTTTTAACTTGTAATTGTTAATAAAGTAATCTTGAATATCAAGACAAAATATTATTTATATGAAATAGTTTGAAGACATTAACTATGAATGTATGACTAAAATTTCATTAATGTATAATCAAAAATGAGAAGACACTTCATCATGTTTACTTTTTTTAATATGTAATTTAGTTCAATCTTTCAAGAAAAAATATAATATACAAATGACTTTGATCACTCTTAATTTTATTGCTAGGAACACAAGATAAAGTTTATTAATTATAATAAATATATTAGTAATTACTTTTGAATTTCATTGTTTATGTGAAATCAAATAAAAGTTAAAATAATGTATTAGATGAGTTTATCTTAATCATTCAGGTCATAAAAGAAAATAGTTCAGTCAATGAACTCTACTATATGTATAAACTTTATCGGAATTTGAATAATTATTAAAACTACAATTCAGTCAGTTAATTCAATACTTATCGTCATGGATGTGACCTAAACCGCTATGTTTAATATATTAAATTGATTCAGATCACCTAGAACAAGATTAATCTTATCTTGATTTCGATTAATTCTTCAGGGTGTAGATCGATCTTGACATTACGAATATCAGTCTGTATTACTATACTAATTAAACTTATCCCTAGTTGATATAGTATAGACACAATTGAATTTGTTTTTTTGTCTATCTCTTCACTCTTTATCGATGCATTTGCTTTTCAAAACAAAATATTGCAACTGTTCATCAAATCAATGACTTATAATAAAATAAAAGTGCATACTGTTTATTAATTCATTTTAGATAACCTTCTACAAATGAAGTAAAATAAATAGAATATTTAGTAGTCTTCATGATCTACGACGGCAACCTGAAAAAGATCACATTAATGCAAAATAGATAAACTAGAATGTTATTTATTGAATTGTTCATTACCGTATAGTCATATATCTCTATTTTTTCTCATAACCACCGGTGACTATTGTTCGTATTCGATCTCGCAATATAGAAGTAGAGAATAACATTCAAGCATTTCCATTAAATAGAAGTAACGGTCGTCTAAAAACTCGCTCAGCTCTTTCACGTAGAAATCACGTTACTAAACAACTACCAAGCTATTGATTTATATAATTAAACAAAACAGAAATCAGATTTGAACTCTCCAACTCCAGTTACCCTTCGGTTAACCCTGATAAAAAATTTCTTTTTTTAAAACAATAGTTCTTTCTGTAAAAAAACGCTCTTTAAAAAATTTTTAAAAAACTAACACGAGATTCGAGTTCCTCGATCCCGATTACCCTTCGGTCAACCCTTATAAGGAAAATTCCTTTTATATCCTCACGTAGTTTTAGGACTGATCGGTGAAGTGCGGACACACAAGCAAGCAAACAATTTATGTTTCTAAGACTCCTCTGTAGGAGAAAGAGAATAAATATCGTCAGTAGAACTATTAATTTAGTAATTCGAAAGCTTATTAAATATCTAGAATGTTATTTTGCTGTTAAGATCAGTTGTTTTTTCGCGTACATTCAATTTAGCTGATCTATTTCTATAACTTAGTGTCCTTTGCAAAACACCAAGGTGTCGTGCTCATTAAAACATAACAAATCGTTGTAAGATGTCTCTTCAAACAATTCCTCGCTTAGTCTGAATCCGAGATCAGAGGACTATAATTGACTTTTCTGCGTTATAAAATAAATAGTAATTTATCATCTATTTAATATAGCTAAATTGAGCAATACATCATGAATAAGTGGTCGTTCCTCTCATTTAATTCTAATTAATGATGAATACTAATTTAGTGATTCAGTTAGACCGTGCGATAACGACATATCCATATGTATCGCAGTTTTCTCACTGTTTCTTGTTTTTGTTCTTTTATTACAGGGAACAAACTCGTCAAGAACTAGAAACGTCAATATGTCTTAGATGGTCATTGATACACATACGTATGTATGTATGTTACCTTATCAGTCGGCCTTGTCCATTATGTTTTTATTGTTTACAGAGTTGTTCTCTGTACGCGCGCGAGTCACTACAAATTGAAATTAATTCAAAAAAGTGAACAAAACTTTCTTTTATTTATTTATCCACTATTCTTTTTCATTTCTTGTTTTACAATTTCAATACTCTCTTTCACATTTTTAATGCTAGGATGAGTTGGAGGTAATGCACGTTGCCATATGTCCAGAGCACGTTCAAAATATGAGAGTGCTTTCGAATATTCTTTCATATTTTCATATACAAAACCGATGTTGTTGTATGAAGTAGCCAATGAAGGATGATTTGAAGGAAGAGTTTTTTGCCGAATCTCAAGTGCTTTTTCGTAATATGGAAGTGCTTTCGAGTACTCTCCCATCTTTTTATACACCAAACCGATGTTGTTGTATGAAGAAGCTAAATGAGGATGATTTGAAGGAAGAGTTTTTTGCCAAATTTCAAGTGCTTTTCCGTAATATGAAAGTGCTTTCGAATACTCTCCCATTTTGTTATAAACCGAACCGATGTTATTGTATGAAGTAGCCAAATCAGGATGATTTGAAGGAAGAGTCTTTTGACAGATTCCAAGGTCTTTTTCGTAGTATGAAAGTGCTTTTGAGTACTCTCCCATGTTGTCATACACACCACCGATGTTGTTGTATGAAGTAGCCAATTCAGGATGATTTGAAGGAAGAGTTTTTTTTTGAATTTCAAGTCTTTGTTCGTAATACCAAATAGCCTTTTCATAATCACCTTGATTCGAATGTACAAGTCCCAGCTGATTATAATAAAACGCTTTTTCACCCTCGTCAGATGTCTGTTCGAGTAGTACATTATAAAGCTCTTCGGCTTTATTAAACTGACCGCTTTTAAGCAGTAATCTACCTAACCTCTCCCATCCACTGGCACCACTAGCTTCTTCTCGTATCCGATCAGTGAGTGATCGTAGTTGCTGATCATCATCCGACGTTAATTGTAATTCAACTTGATAAAGTTGATTCTTCTTGTCCATTTGTTTAATTGCACTCACCCGAAAGACAGTGTGCATTGAGAAGAGAATTTCTTCTTCTTGTGCCTCGAAATAACTAAGTTCAGTAATACAGGCAAATGGTGTTGATTTCAAACAAGGATCGATGGACATTATGAAGAGAATTCCCACCTTATTTACTTCTGCTGCAGCATCTCGAGCAAAACGGAGAGACACTTGATCATTTTTACTTGTAGATAAGAAATTGTTAAATGACATAAGTCCACCTTTTGCTTTCTGAAGTTTTTCAAAGTCTGATCTCATAAGACCTTGTCCTCGATAAACTTCAAAAGGTTTTCTTCCATAACTAGTGACTTGTTGTTCGTACAGCTGTTGAATTTGTTGATGTACATCACGTAGGAAGAAGCCCATGTTAATGATTATATCGGCATTCATAATTCGAAGTGCTTGATTGAGCATTTTGTAGGTAAAACACTCACGTGTATACCACCATATTGCTCGTTTTGGACGATAATCATGTTCAAATTCATTAATAACTTTTAATTCAGTTGAATTACCCGCGAAAACTTCGCGACAACAAACTGCTAAATCCTTGATTGCCTTGGCGCCGTATTGGATATCAAGGAGGATCTCCTTGAATAGTTGGGTATACATAAAAGTGGGTTCCAACTGATTTAAATTATCAGTTGAAACCGTATTATTTACCGCGAGAAAACTTACAGCAATGGTGTCTTGGTCACATTGTTTAACCGCCACTTGTAATGCTTGACAAATATCTGTGATATTTGTATGGACACCTTTAATTTTTGTCCAGTTTTGTGTCCATTTCTCGTGTCTGGATTTGTTGCCACAAAATATGTAAATTGCATCTAACTGTGGTATGCCATGAATTCTAGGAACCAAATGTTGACCTAATGAGCCTGATGTTATGACGAAGGCTTGTTCCTTGTCAACATTGTTGAGTGTTTGGATGCATTGATCCGATTCCGTGCATAAGTTGACATCGTTGACCACGCTCTTCAATTGAGCCAATGTATTCTGACAGTCTTTGTCTGCTTGGTCGATGCTGGCATCTACCCAGATGAGAAGGTAACTTTGTGCCATACGTTGTCGTGGTTGGCGAATATTTGATGATGCTGCAGCATTTTGATTTAATTTTGATTCAGTCATTTTGATCGTGTTAGGTGATGCAGCAACGTTCAGGGTTGATTTTGATTCAGTCATTTTGATCTTGTTGGATGATGCAGCAGCGTTTACGGTTGATTTTGATCCACTCATTTTGATCTTGTGATAATTTTTTGTTGAAGATGAACTTGTCAGTAGATATTGTTGTTCGAGTAAAAAGAAAGATCACAGTACTTCTTTATATAGGCACTGACTTGTTTTTTCTCGATTTTTCGGCGACTTCGAATATTTGTATGTTTTTGTTATCACACAAGGACAAACATCACTGAGTTACGTTGGAAAAAAATATTGTAAAGAGCAAGAAACAGAACAAAGCAAACACATTTGCTGATAACATTATCGAAAGAACAAACAGAACAGAAGCCAACAAACGAATTCATTTCATGGTTATTCTTTCCAAGTTATTCTTGCTTCTATCTAAATTATTATTACAGTTTGTGGATGAGTAGGCGACATTTTTTTTCATCGAATAAAGGTAGAAAGAGAAATACTATTCTTTCGACAGATTAGTTTTTCTTTTATACTTTTTGTCAGACATTATATGAATGTTTGATGGATGTATGCAATTTATTATGAAAAGACAATGAAAAAAGCTTTGTAAAATTGTGTGTATCGAGCATGCTTTAAACAGTACACCATTGAATGAAAAAAGAACTGTAGACTCAACTTTGATGAAAGTAAGATCGACGAAACTTTTTTGTTCTCTGTTAAAACAAGCAAAGTGTTTCGTGTAAGATCATTGAAAAGTTTTATTGAAAATAATTTTTAAAAAGCACAAAAATATTACGAAATTTTTTTATAATTTGAGTATAAAATACTATTGCTGAACAAAAAAAGAACTTATTTTAGATTCATAAAGGTGTAAATGGCTATTCCAATTGTTGGTAGTAATTGAAAAAATTAAGTTTCTCAATAAAAGAGGTGCTGAAGAACTATATATTTTACATGACAAAAGAGACTTATTCAAGATTTTATCAAATAATATATTATTTGAAGTTAGACATAGCTTCTCTGTGAGGTAGGATCTGGGTGGGTGTGAGTATTAGTGCATCTCTTCTCTTCACTCAAACTCACACCTACCCACAACGTCAATTTTACAGCAAATAAAAATTCTTATTATTTCATTATTTTACTATTTGTATGCAGATTTGCAATTAAAACCTGAATTAACTATCAAAAAATCGCACAATTGATACCGGCATCTCATTGTGCTTTTATTCTCCTGTCTTTTTCAAAGAATAAATATCATACGATTTTATGTTATAAAAGAGAAGCTAAACACAGTGAAATATTAAGTAAATTACTGTTATGAATCCAACTATCATAATCCTTTCGATAATTAAAATATTATCCGATAACTAAAACTGTTCATCATTATTATACTCGAAAATAATCTTTATTCAAACAATGGTTATTACACAACCATTCCTGTTTTCTAAAATAAGATACGGTTCAGAGCATGTGTTTTTTATGTTCTCAGGTGTGCTCTTTGAAACAGAAGTCAAAATCCAATGGTAATGTCTAGAACCGATCATGTCTATACTCTTAGAATTATATTTCGATACAATAAATACTTAACAAAAAAGAGAGTGAGATAAAGAAGACATGTATTTAATCTATATCTCCATGAAAATATATATTAAAACGTTCTTTCATTGAAAAAACATTACATAAAGCATTTGTGTTTTTATTTGAAATTAAAATGAAATCAAGTTTCAGATTTTAGTGAAACAATTTTAGATATTATATTAGTTTTATTAGTGAGATTTTCTCATTAAAAAAAATTCTTTTTCGATTTCTTCGACTAGTGAACAACGTTTTGATTGTCATTGAGTTCTTAGGTTCAGAAAGTGTTCATAAACACACAAGTCAGTATAACAATTTTATTAGTAAATACAAAAGTTATATTCTGATGTTATATGTATTTGTTTATTAGTCTAAATTAGATAATACAATTACGTAATCATCCAAAAATAAATTCAGTTAAATAAAGACCAATTAATTGGAACGCATTTCTAATGCCTACTTGTTTGTAATCCAAAAGAAACGGTTAAATTTTATTACTTCCAATGGAATGAGTAAAAAACATCTGGTATCAGTGTTTCTCTCTTCTCTTGATTGTATCATTTTTCTGTGTATTGATTGATAAATCGAAAGTTTTCATTTTTTTCTTGGTTTAGTAAGCTCAAAAAATGAAATGCTTATAAACATAAAAAGTGTACTAGTTTACAATCTGAGAACAAAATCTTCATTAAGATACATTGATTAATTTTCACTTTAGTCTTTTCTTTATTGAACTTATCGCGACTTTTACCAATCAATTGAACCGTTTTAATATAATCTAATTTTAAGTAATATACGGAATGCTATTATAGCATTCAAAAGTTTATCTTACTCATTCTCTATATCGACTACAAAAAGTCCATATTATTAGCATACGTAAATCTAAGGATTTTTTCTTTATAAAGCAATTTGACGGTTGAGAATAATCCAGGGAAGATTTTACAAACTGATGCATTAACTGCTATAGATAATTAAATAGTAGCAAAAAATTATGACATTCATATGTAAACACGAAACAGAATCACATTTTTTTAATTCAAATTTCCATCAAAATCACGGAATAGGGTTATTTCCTACTAGGGCTATTCTTAATCGGTAAGAATTCATTCACTCACTTTCATCTCTAACTAACCACTGAAGATAAATTAATAAGAAGTTTGTTAATTGATTAGTTATCTAACATTTACTCTAACGTGAGCGCTATGTGCAATAGTATTGAAGAATATTACATGGAAAAAAAATGACCGAAAAAGACCTGAAGGTTAAGAAAAGGAAAAAAAGGATACATATATGCATATGTCGTATTTGTCATCTTACGATATATAGAATAGAAGAAAGAGAAATATGAGATAATTATTTATCATTAACAATCGATTCGATTAAAATAAATAAAAAATATCGATCGTGATGATACTTAAGGATCCTTTTCAATTTTATAATTATTTCTGATCGATAAGATTTCATTTATTTCAGAACATAAAATTTGTGGATTGTTCAAATTTTATAATGCTGTTTATAGAAATTATTTTAGTATCGTTCACAGTGATGATAGTCTGAGGGAGACTTATGAAAAAGCTATTCTTCTTTAATTACTAGAATATTGTCATCTGCCGACTGAGTTTTTAGAGTTCTCTAACTACATATATTGCAATCTTTCCCCGAAAGAATAAAAGCAAAATATACATCCAAATATCGTAAATCTTATCTACAATAACAAACATCGTGTCTCTCCGCGAAAAAGAAAAGATGTTAAAATAACGTCGTTTGTTGTTAGTCAAATATAGACTTTTTCTTTTTCGTCCTTTTATTTAATATTGATAAAAGTACATTTGTTTTAAATTTCCAACATGATGTCACAGAACTAATTATTACACGATCTATTAACTCAAATAACTTTTCAGTATTAACTTGCGTAGATTATTTAAATCATACATACACTATCAATGACAATCCTAATCTCGATACCAAGAATTGTAAACGAGAGAGAACTTGTTAGATGAACATCCAGACTTTGTTTTGAACAACCCAGTGCGTACCTAATATTTTAACTCGATGAATTCAATCAATTCCAAATATCCAAAATAGCAGCTTGTACATGAGTGTATATCAAGTCATACCTCAGCATTATCTAGTATGAGACACGAGATATTGAAAACGAAAATCAGTCACTTTAGGATCATTTTCTCCAAGCAAAATCTGAATTTAGAAAAGAACAAAACTAAACAAGATACAATGTAATTTTTATCTCTACCACATCATATTGAATTATTCAAAAGTTTAAAAACTTATGATAAAGCACATTGATTTTCGAACATTGTACTCGAATATGTTTATAAATGTGTGTTGAAAGTGAAATTATGTAAAATAAAACTATATTATTGCAATCATAGAATTTTCTTTTTATCATGTATATTTCATCATAAAATATTCAATTACTGATAATAATCAGTTGCTATTTCTAATGAAGAATTCAATCCTAAATTAGCTACTCGTGAATTATTAAAAGATTCTATGGCTAATTTTGTGTTTCGAAATAATTAAAGCAAAAAGAAAAAGAAAAAGTTAGGCGTCACTTCTTTCTAACAAATGTTTTACGGCTAATGGCAGATAACGAATTAGTTAAATAACTAAAAAATGAATTATTAGTGTTTTTTCAACATATGATCGTTTGAATTCTCGATTTCGATAATATCAATTTCGTTTTATTTTCCTATAATCGTGAATGTTGAGAATTTTGTAAAAACTTAATAATAAAAATCGAAATGAAATGAATTTTGTTGAGCAAAACAAATGCTGAAAAACATTTTTGTTTAATAAATTAACAAGATTCATCATTTTCCAATCTTATTTTGTTTGATTTGGAAAAAGTTTAAGTTGAAATAAAAATTTATATCTGTTATAAAAAAAACTTGTTATTAAAATCTCTTTATTTCTCTCGAAATTCTTCAACATAACTTTGATGATTTAATAAGTAAAAAGATATTTTATAATTTATTAATTAAATTTTATTCAATTACTAGCATCTAGAATCGATTAATGATTAATTATTCTACCCTATCTACTGAATATTATGACATCACTTATTCTTAAAGAGTTAGAAACAGATTGCTCCATGACATCTAGTGACATCTAATTTAAATCACAATCTTATGATTTAATCATAAGATAATAAACGATATTGAATAAATTTTCAAGCTTTTCCTATTTCTTAATTCTTTTGACATTAAAGACAATTCATTTCGTTATTACATTTCATATCCATGACAATGAAGTCTGAAATGGTATTCAAATCGGACTAACATTTTGTTAACCACTAGCTACTTAAAATGGAAGGTGAAACTGCCGTAGTATCAACAGGAGATATCGAACATAAACGCAATATATCATCTCCATTCAATCCTAATTATTCCCATCAACAATCTCGAACTACACCAACTAATATACATTCAAATACAAATATTAGTATCTCGAAACGTGGACTAAGTGCAGAAGAACGACATACTCTACCAGAAATACCTCGTAACCCATTAACAGCTAGTGTTGCGCATGTTGTCTCAAGAGAACTCGGGTAAATTAACTTCTATATTAATTTTCTAAAATACAACTAAATTGTTTATTATAGAGAAAATTTTCTTAAAACTTCAATACGTCCAGAAACAGTTAAAAAATTAGTTGTATCAGGAAACGTTGATGATTTTTCACATCGTGCATATGTTCAACATTTACGTGAAATTCAAGCTAAAAGAGAATATCAATTACAAAAAATTGGGCATGATGAACAAGCATTTCTATTAGCTGATATTCAAGCACATGAAAATGATGATACTGAAGACAGTAAGATATTAACTCCTATGTATACATATGTGTAAATAAATTTTTATTTGATAGAAACACATCTATCAAGTTTATATATTAATGAAGAAGCATTGACAAGAGATCAAGTTATATTACCACGAGATTTTCTTAGTTTTAATCTTCAAAAATATATTAAACAAGAAAAAGAATCAAAAGATGGTGAAAAGCAAGAGACTGATACTGATAAGAAATTGGTATATCAACTTTTATTGAATAAATGATATATACATCTAATTGTTATATATTTAGCCTAAACTTACTCGTCAAATGAAATCGAAAAGTTTCAATTCTATATGGAAAGATCAAATAAGTGTAGCAGAAAGAGATTTTGGTCGTGGACGTTTACAAATGATTGATAATTTCACTACTTATAATATTAATCCACGATATGATGAAACTCGATCTAATCAACTTATCACAAAAATACCTCCGAATAAGTAAGATAGTCAATCAAACAAATTATTTCTATATTTATATCTATATTTTAGACCTCCTGCTCTATTACCTGTATTCGAAGCTATTCCATCTGAAATTATTTTTACTCGATATCGAGTTGGTGATGTACATGAAACAACACTCAATTTAAGAAATTTAAGTAGTGTTGCACATAGTTGTCGAGTTATACCACCAAAGACACCAAATTTTTGTGTTAGTCTTTCACAATATCCATCCGGTCATTCACTTGTAGCTACTGGATTAAGTGTAGTTTATAATGTTAAATTTGCACCAGATACATTAGGTGTTTTTGAAGATGAAATTATTGTACAATGTTCAAATGGAACAGAATTTTCAGTTAAATTATTAGCTAAAAGACCACCACCAGTACTAACACGTAAGCAACAAAATATTTGATAAGTTAAAAAACACTCGATTAATTCTTTTTTTCGTTATTTAGTTCCAGCAGTAGTTGATTGTGGATATTGGTTAGCTGGAGGACGTAAAATATGTGAATTTAAAATACGAAATGATGGTGGTGAAGGACGTTTTGCGTTAGTTCCTGCTACATCATGGCCAGCAGTTAATTTTAAGGTATGAAAAGAAAAGAATATATTCTTTTGAATAATAAAGCAATGTTTTATTTAGGCTGTAATTCGTAGTGATACAGTTCATATACCTCCATTTGATATAGCTTCTCCAACACTTGACCTTCG